AATGCATCAAATCTGTTCTTCAAATTCAGAAGGGATAAATTCAAGGTCATATTTTGGCTCCCGTAGACTTTTTTTCATTTTCTTCAGTTTCAGTTTGAATTTGCATATCAGTGATTGATAGTCTGTTCCACAGTCTCTGGAAATCTTTCTGACACATCACATGATTAAAAACCCTAAGAAGCAGCTATGCTTTACACGCCTGAGGTCACCATGAGTCAGAATCTGCTAGGTGACAACTAACAAACAAAGAAGCACATAATTCATCAGAGTGCAAAGTCAAGCTCACCAGCTGCTCCTTGGAAACCTTATACTGGGTCATTATGGATCAGAACCTACTTGATTACACTTAACAACAACAACAACATCCTATCAAGAGCAAAGGTGTCATATTGAGGACTAACGTGTACCTGGCCTAAGCCAGGGTATTTTCAATAGCTTCATATGCATGTGAAATTTGCACATAGAAGAATTGATGCATTTGAGTTATGATATTAGAGAAGAAAATAAAGGAACCATGAACCTCCAACAAGATGGATTGGCACACTGGGAGCAACAGTGGGCTCCAGTGAAGTAGCAATTGTGACGACGGCACAGGATTGAGTAGTGTTTCATTATCTATTACACATAGTGTCACTATGGGTCAGAACTGACTTGACGGCACCTAACAACAGTATTGCACTTATTTCTCTATAGAAACAGGATAAAATGATTAAAATTTAACATGGCAAAACTGTAAGAATTCAAAGTTAACTACAACACAGCAACAGCAAAAGAAATTTCATACAGTTTAAGGAAAAGAGGGATAAACTAGACTATTAAAGAATGTCTACAAAGAAGAAATGGTAATCTGGGAGACTAGTCACTGTGATAAATCTGAGTTATTTGACAGAAGGAAGAAAATGTGACTAGGAAAGAACTAAGTCTTCTTGCAACTCTAGAAGGTACAGTATTAGGAAGTAGTCCTATTGGTGGATAGCTGAAGCAGAGCGATGGGGCAGAGGTGGTTGTTAAGGAAAAAGCCAGAGTTCTGGTTATGTTTCCCACAGAAAAATTGAAATACCTAAACTAACCAAAGATGGTTAAATGGTATTGGGTTGGAGGGGGTGCTGTGGGATAATGTGCTGGACTGCAACGTAGGTTTGAAATGCAAGGTCAGTGGTTCAAGCCTACCAGCCACTCGCCATATACCCTACACAGGATCACTATGAGTTGGAATTGGCCCAGTGGCATTAACAACAACAATAGCATTAGAAAAATACTTATACATATATTTTATGACATATACTTAATATGTAAACTATATACAACTGTGAATATAATTTAGGAAACAGTTCTAAAAATCACCTCAGTTGGTATCTGGTAAGGTTGTATTTCTGAAATTTGTGAAAAAAAAATGGAGAGAAAAAATGTTAAGATCTGAAACAGTGAACATAAACAGAGGTATGCTTGAGGTATGAAACAGTGAACATAAGTAAACTGATTTAAATTAATTTTAATTACAAATGACTTTGTATTGCAAATTTAATTGTACCATGTATGAATCTCTTTCCATTTTTTCCGCCATTTAAAGACAAAAACAATACAATAAATGGCTCCAGGGAATTTCAGTCAGGTGACTGAGTTCATTCTCATTGGTGTCTCAGACCGTCCTGAGCTCCAAATCCCCCTTTTCTTTGTCTTCCTGGTGATCTATGGGCTGACAGTGGCAGGGAACCTTGGCATCATCATACTCACCAGTGTGGATTCTCGACTTCAAACTCCCATGTACTTTTTCCTCAAACACTTGGCTATTATCAATCTTGGCAATTCTACTGTTATTGCACCTAAAATGTTGGCCAACTTCCTGGCTAAGAAGAAAACCATCTCCTACTACTGCTGTGCAGCTCAACTTGGTGGATTCTTAGTTTTCATTGTGGCAGAGATTTTCATGCTGGCCGTAATGGCCTATGACCGTTACGTGGCCATTTGCAACCCCCTACTCTATATGGTGATAGTATCTCGGCAGATTTGTTTTCTGTTAGTGTCTCTCACATACCTCTATGGCTTGACCACAGCACTGACCGTCACTCCTTGTGTGTTCTCCGTGTCATACTGTTCTTCCAATGTAATCAATCATTTCTACTGTGATGACGTACCTTTGTTAGCATTGTCCTGTTCTGATACCTACATTCCAGAAACTGCGGTGTTTACCTTTTCGGGGACCAATTTGCTTTTCTCCATGATCATTGTTCTAATATCCTACTTCAACATTGTCATTGCCATTTTGAGGATACAGTCCTCGGAAGGAAGACAAAAAGCTTTTTCCACCTGTGCCTCTCATATGATGGCAGTCACCGTGTTCTATGGGACTCTGTTTTTCATGTATTTGCAACCAAGGACTAATCACTCACTAAATACTGATAAAATGGCCTCTGTCTTCTACACCCTAGTTATACCAATGCTGAATCCACTCATTTACAGTCTAAGGAACAAAGAGGTGAAGGATGCACTGAAGAGGTTACTGAAAAACCCATGCCAATCATTCAAATTATTGTAAATGTATAATTACAACTATCTTCTTTAAAAGTCTTCATTTGGTCCTGACAAATCTGCTGTTGAGTTAAGAGGCATTTAATGGCTAAAGAAATCCATTAATTTCAATAGGAATAATCTTGTTGCATTTTATCCTAATTCAAAATGCCCTATCTTCACATATTTTTAAAAAACGCATCAATTATACAATGAAAACAAATTTATGTATGCAAGGAACAACAGTTTGAAAGCAAATAAATAGCTATTATAAATAGAATTTAAATTATTAAAAGATTTGATTCTTATAGCTTCTAAATATGTTATCTAGGTGGTACAAAGCATCTGTACTAGAATAAAAGTTGTTGATCCAACCTACCCAGTGGTACTATGGGATAAAAAGCTTGGTGATCTTCTTCATTTAAGATTGCTGCTGTTGTTGTTAGGTGCCATAGAGTCAGTACTAACTCATAGCAACACTATGCACAACAGAACCCAACACCGCCCAATGCTGCGTTAACCTCATAATCATTGTTATGCTTGAGCCCATTGCTGAGAGAACTGTGCCAGTCCATCTGGCTGGGTGTCTTCCTGCACTTTATCAAGCATGATGTCCTTCTCCAGGGATCGATGCTTTCTGATAATATGTCCAAAGTATGAGAGATGAAGTCTGGCCATCCTGGCTTCCAAGAAGCATTCTGGTTGCACTTCTTCAAGCACAGATTTGTTTGTTCTTTTGGCAGTCTATGACACTTTTAATATTCTCCAGGATCATTTAAGAATGTTGGTGTTGTTAAGTGCCATGGAGTCCATCCCGACTCATAGTGACCCTGTATAGGATTTCCAAGGATAGGCTAGTGAGCTTGAACTGCCTATCTTGTGATTCAAACCAACCTTGCAATCCAGCACATTAAACCACAGCACCACACTATAGTTGCCCTCCCCAAAAAACCCTTGGTGAAGTTCTACTCTTTAATACTTAGGGTCATCATAAGTTGGAATTGACTTGGTGGCAACTAAGAACAACACAGCCTCTATACAAGGAAGATAAGTCTGATGATGTATGGTGGGGTAAATTAAAATCATTGCTTAGAAAATAATAGAAAGATCATTTTCCCTGGTACACCCATCTTTTGTCTTAGGGCTCTTTTCTTTTCTTCTTTATGCCATGTTCTCCAGTCAACTTTGTACAATTTTATCCACATACCACTTTTTTAAACAATTGTTGCATTGCACTTAAATTTATATCACAGAAAAGTAAATGTATAGGGTGAAATAAAATGGAAAACTAGGAGTGTTTGGAAAGTGGACATGTGCCTCAGTGGAATGAAATAAAAATAAAATGATTTTTTCTACCTTTTCCCTCCTCTCTCATAGTGCAAGCAAAGCAAAATATTTATGTACTAGTGTGGTACTGTAGGATAAGCACTGGACTGCTAACCACAAGGTCGGCAATTCAAAACCACCAGCATCTCCTCTGAAACCCTATACTGGGTCACTATGAGTCAGAACTTATTTGATGGCACTTAACATCATCAACAATGGTGGTGGTGGTATCTGTGGTGTGCTGTGGAGTCAGTTGTGCACATAGCGACCCTGAATAGTGTTTCTGAGGCTGCAAATCTTTATGGGAGAAGAGAGCCTCATCTTTTTCCTGTACAATGGCTGATAGTCCAACTCATAACCACTATGCTACCAGAGCTCCTTCCAACAGTAATAGTGACATATAATTAATATTTTCCACATTATGTTCTCATTGTACACATTATTGTGTGGAATTATTATCTTTGTTATGAAACCATATTATACATCATTTCTTTTCACTTTTTTATTTATTGTGTTTGGGGATTGTCATGGATTGAATTGTGTTCCCCAAAGTATGTGTCAACATGGCTGGCCCATAATTCTGAGTTGTTTGGCAGTTATGTTATGATGTAATGTGGTAGTTATGTTATGATGTAACATGATAGTTATGTAATGATGTAATGTGATAGTTATGTACTGATGTAATGTGGTAGTTATATAATCATATAATGTGATAGTTATGTACTGATATAATGTGATCGTTGTGTAATGTTGTAATATAATAATTATATAATGATATAATCACTGCCTTGCCATGATGTGAGCTGATGTGAGCAGCTCTGATCATATGTACTTATTCTATGTGTTGTAAATCCTCACATTTATGGTGCTAATGAGGCAGGATACAATGAGGATTAGATTGCATCCTGAATGTATCTTTGTGATATAAAAGAGATTAATCAAATAAGCAGACCAAACTACTTCCATCAAGAAAGAAGAGCCTGGTGTGGAGTTGACTTGAGGTCCCTTTGGACTTGAGGTCCCTTCAGTGTGATGCTCCTAGATCCAGAGGAAGATGGATGCCTAAACCCATGGAGTTCTCTAAGAAACGTTGTGCCTACCAAGGATGAAAGGAGACAAGGACCTTTCTCCAGAGCCTACAAAGAGAGAAAGTCTTCCCCAAGAGCTGGTTCTCTGAATTTGGACTTCTAGTCTCCTAAATTGTAAGAGAGTAGATTTCCATGTATTAAAGTCATCCAATTATCGTACTCTGTTTTAGCAACACTAAAGAACTAAGACAGGTGTGAGAATGTTATTAGACATAAAATATCACTGTCTTAAAAATGCTTACAATTCTCAAGAAACCTATGGGGGGAAAAAGTCAATTATCAAGGGAGTTATCACTATATATGTCGAATGCTACTAACGTGATAGAGTGAGGATGAGCAGGTGTGTCATGTGAGATAAAAATTGTCTGGAAATAAAGTAGTCAAGACATTTTCAAGAATATTAGGCATAAGCCAAAACCAGGAAGTGTTTCACTAACTTTGGTCATGAATCAGTGGAACAGATAAAGGCAGACAACTCAAAAAACTGTGATGGATATTTCTGGTCTCAATAGTTATAATCAGCTACAAAAAAAACTCAGCTGTACTTTGATCACTTTCTTCTGTAAGCTTTCTATGTTACTTTCTTATGTGCTTGTTATTATATAGGTGTATTTAGCTTCACTAACTTGTGGTAAGAAGTTTGTGTCCTAATAGAAAATGATTCTATTTGGCTCTGGTTTTATGAATATAAACAAAAGTTTAACTCACATTATAACATTTCCAATGGTTTGAAAAATGAAAGAATGAATAAAGCACTTGTCATTGTGTGGGTACCAGTTCTCATTCATGTCTATCTCATGTGGATCGGAGTAGAATTACTTCATATGGTTTTCAATGACCTCTCAGTAGATCTTCAAGTCTTTCTTCTAAGACTTCTGGAGGGATTTGAACTAACAAATTTTCAGTTATCAGTAAAATGCTTAACTATTTGCACCACTCAGGGCCTCTTTCCAGAGCAATATATTGGAATGTGCTATACATCAGTGCTGCACAATTTGTTAAATGAATTGAGGCTAAAAGTAAGAGCCCTAGCTTTTCCTATCTTTTAGTTTACACATGAAGTACTTTCTAAAAATAATTAAGTTGTTGCTAGTATTTGTTTCTTATTACTGTAACAAATAACCACCAATTTAATAGCTGAAAAATACAAAAGTATTGTTTAACAATTCTGGCAGTCAGAAGAACAAAATGGGTCTCACTGCAACTAAAACCAACGTATCAGCTAACAGTATTTCTTATGGATGGCCCAGAGGAGAATGTTTCTTGTCTTTTTTAGCTTCTAGAGAAGGCACACATTTGTTAGCTTGTATAACTTTCAGTCCTCCATCACATTGCTCTCACCTCTACTTCTGTCTCCTCATATCCTCCTCCTCGACAGCTGTTTTCCACATTAGGACCCTCATGATTAAACTTGTCTTACCTGGATAATCCTTGAACATATCATATGAGGAAAGTCCTGTTTGCCAGTTAAGTTAAATATTCACAAATTTTAGGGATTAGAATTTGGACATATTTAGGGGTTCTAATACATTGGAGTCCTGGCATTGCACTGTGGGTTAATGCATCAGACTGCAAAGCTGTTTGAACTGCAAGGTCAGTTGTTCAAGCTCACCAGCTGCTCCTCAGAAACCCTATAAAGGGTCGCTATGGGTTGGAACTGACTCAAAGGCACTTAACAACAACAACAACAACAATACATACGTTATGCAAAGTCATTTGAACTGCAAGGTTGGTTGTTCAAGCTCACCAGCTGCTCCTTGTAAACCCTATACAGGGCCTCTATGGGTTGGAATCGACTCGATGGTACTTAACAACGACAATGTACATATATATGATATTGAGATTTTTGTGAAGTTTGACAATTTAAATATTAAACTAGTCTCATTTACTTGAGCTCAATAAAATAGTCTCACAAAAACATATACAGTATTGCAAGCATCAATTCTTTGAGAAGGATCATCACAGACTGGTCCTTATGAGGTGAAGGCTAAAAACTCCCCAAATGTTCCACTTTTCTAAAGTGCTATGTTGTTGTTTTTGATAAGTGCTGTAAAGTAGGTTCTGACCCATAGTGACCCTGCACAGGGTTTCCAAGGAGCAGCTGGTGAGCCTGAGCCACTAACCTTGCAGTTCAGCATGTTAACCCATAGCCCCACCAGGACTCCACCACCCCATAATCACTGATATCAGCCACTCCTCCTCCCCTCAGTATTCTCCCACACATCTCGGTGTTCCACAGTTTGATTCAACTTCTCACAGACCTCAACGGTTGTCAAGAAAATGGCTCACATGGTTGTTTTCATTGTTGTTAAGTGTTGTTGAGTCTGTCCCTACTCATAGCAACTCTGTATACAGTTTCTGGAGAAGCTGGTGGGTCTGAATCATTGATTTTGCAGTTTGCAGTCCAGTGCTTATCTTATAGCACAAATCACAAATTTACAGTTCAGACGTCAATTTGCACCATTTGTCTTATTCACACAAAATCAGGTTGTTGACTCACTGTGGAAGCTGGCAAATCAGGGCAGGTCTTTTGCATAATTATCTAGACCCAAAGGTCACACAAAGGTAAACAGAGGAGTACACAACCCACTCAGATCACCAAAATGGCTCATTT